CATCATCCCTCCCCAGGCCTCTGCCTGGAATGCATCTCCTGGTTATCAGCCAGGAAGCTGCTTGATTCCCTCTCTCTGCCCCATCACCCTCCTCTGTGCATTCAGGGCATGTCACTGCTTTCTCCACTGAGGATCGTGGGGCTCTCTCTCTCTCTCACAGAGGCTGTGCAGGTCATCTGTGTGTATTGAACATATGCAGGGCCAGCATCTTCCTCTCATGGAGACAGAAGTCAGCCCCTGCCCTGGAGAGAACTGGGAAGAAGTGATCTAGGGCTCTGGAAGAAGCCAGGGTTGCACTCCGAGGATGACTGGAAAGCTAGGTTTTGTCAGAACAGGCTTTCAGATTCATGGGCCATGTATCTTGGGTTTGCAGTTCCCACCTGCAGCTGGTTTTCCCTTTGCTAGCCCATTCCTTTTTTTTTTTTTTTTTTGTCATTTTGGCCTCTACCCATGCCCAGTACAAGCCATGACTCTATTGGTTTTTGACTCAGTTCTTAGCCTCACTTTCAGTTAAGAATGGGTATAATTGTGGTCAGTTCATCAATACAATTTAAGAAAAAAACGTAGAAAGGGTTTTCTTTGAAATGATTGCTTTTCTAACAGAAAAGGTCACATGCAGCGGACAGCACCCTTTACTTCTTCTTGTCCCGGGTATGGACATGAGGGCTGCACCGCAACAGCCATCAGCAAAGGCCTGAGGCTTACCGGCTGGCACATGCAGGGGTGCTGTGCCACCACCCACCAGGCTGTTATCTCGGGGCTTCTCACAATCGGAGCAAAAGAACCTGCCTCCTTGTTTAAGCCTCTGTAGGGAGTTGGAGGGTGTCCTCTCAAAATCCATATGCTCCTTGTTGTGAAATAGACCTCATAGTTTGTAACTGGTTAGGGATCCTGAGACAAGATCACCCTGGGTTCAACGTGGCTCTTAAATCCAATAGAAGGTAGTAGGTGCTGGAGAGATGGCTCAGAGGTCAAAAGTGCTTCCTGCTTTTGCAGAGGACTTGGGTTTGGTCCCCAGCATCCACCGGTGGCACACAACCATCTGTAACTCCAGTTTCAGGATATCTGACATCCTCTTCTGCACTCGTAAGACATCTGCATGCATGTAGTGAATAAACTCACATAGCACACAGACCACATACACACGAGTAATAAATAAATCCTCAAAAGTAATGCATAGAAGAAGACAGGACACAGACACATGGGAAGACAGTGGGGCTCCTATTTTTAGATGTCCAGTATCTGCATACCATGTGTGGGGTTGTGGCATCTTCCATTAAAACAAAGAAGTCATACTCAGACCCACTGGCTTGTATCAAGAGCATATGTGTCGCTTGGGTTCAGTGTGTGGAGAAATTATGACATGCCAGCTCCAAGCTTGTGTGCATCTGCTTGCTCCTTGGCCTCTTTAGCCATACTGAGAACAAGCCAGGGCAGCTTGTTGCATGAGGTAGTCAGTCTTTATGCCCTAGCTGCCTGCCAGCCAACTGTCAGCTGCATGAGTGTGACCCTGTGGGAAAGCCCACCTTTGGCTGTCCTGTCATGTCTGATTTCAGTAGAACCACTTGGCTGGTAGGCTAACGTTGAGAAATATGAAACACTGCTTGTCACTGGGTTGGAGGGAGGCCTGCTACCCAACAGTAACTGAGTGATGTGCCACTCAGCCTGGGAATGAAGGTCTAGATTTGAGACTTCGCTGTGTGAGCCCTTCGAGCCCCGAAGGGAAAGAGCTGTCTTTTTCTCTTTAGAAATGGATGAGAAAGAGTGCTCTCCTTACCCAGGATTTCAAGAACTGAAGTTTACTATCCACATCAAGAAGTATCTGACTTCCATGGCTGGAGAGATGGCTTAGCAGTTAAGAATGCCTGCTGCTCTTGCAGAAGACTTGGGTTAGGTTTCCAGCACCCACATGGTAGCTCATAACCATCTGTTGCTCCAGTTCCATCTGTAGCACCCTGCTCTGCCTTCCATGTGCACCAGGCACACGCACAGTGTACTTACAATGCATGTACGCAAACACCTACTTATATACATAAAATAAAAAAGTAAATTTCAAAAAAGAAACATATGGCTTCTGATTTACATAAAAACATTTGTGATCAACACATAACAAAACCTTTGCTCTAATTACAAAAACTTATCTGGTGGCTGATTAACCAAAGGAGGGGGTTAGCAAAGGCAACTGTAAAGACAGAACATGAGATTATATGAAAAAAGAACACAGTAAAACACTAAAAGAAGAAAATAAGGGCATCTTGGCTGACAGACCCTGAAATCTGGCAAGCTGCATTCTTGGGCATTCTGCTACACTTGTAGGAGGATTTGCTCTCTGTGCTGCACTGTCCTAAAGCTGAGGTCCAGCACTACAGAGGACAAGCCTTTCTCTCCTTGGGGACTTGCCATGCTGATGGAGTAGAGGAAACACAGATAAACTATGTACTGATGGTGTACACGTTGAAGCCCCTACCCCAGGTGCCTGAACGTCCTTATAAGGACACAGTCTTTCTCCACAGATGCTCTCAGGTTATGATGCAGATGTTAGGGCACCCCCAATCCAACGAGACAGGCATGGGAAGGAAAAAGACACAGATGCAGGGAAAGCACCATGCAGTGAGGGAGACAGGTTAGTGCTGTGGCCAAACAAGCAGTGCAGTGGCAAGCATTGCCAAGGACAGTAGACACTTGGAGGAAAGCAGGAAGCAGGGCTAGTTTTCCTGGTACAAACCTTCTGAGACAACACCTTGATGCCACATTTCCAGTCTCCAGGACTGTAAAGGAACAAACTTGTTTTCTGGGTGCCTGGCTTGTAAAATCAGGGAGAGAAACGGGGGAAGCTGAAGACAGAGCTCTCAGTTTAAGCAGAGCCACTTGGAAGATGCCACTTTCATGAATGTGAAAGGGGGTTGTAGGAAATCACATCTATGTCTGAGGAAGGTCCTGTCAAGTAGCTGTAAGAGACAACATAAAGGCTCTGGGGCAGGACTGTGCCCCACACATGCAGCTGGTGCAAGTGAGGTTATGGGGCAAAGGGGGAGAAAAGCTGTGGAAAAGGGAAGATGATGAAGTAGAGTCCGGCGGATTAGCAAGGCTGTTATATTTTGATCATTGAGAAGGCAAGCTCTTGTTAGATTTTGAGGAGATAAATCAGGCACGCCTATAATCCCAGCACTGATGGAGGCAGAGGCAGGCATATCTCTGTGAGCCTTATCTACAAAGTGAGTGCTGGACAGCCAAGGCTACAAAGAGAAACGCTGTTTCTGGAGAGGGAAGTTTTTTGAGGAGAGCTTATCTGATGTCTTAAAAGTAACACCCATGAATGTATGCGTGGTCATACATGCGTATCAATCACCGGCTGTGGCAGTTCAAAACTACCTGGGGCAAAGATGTAATATGGGAGACCATTTGGGAGACACAGTTTTAAAATAGTTTGGCTTTGGATGCTCCTGGCAGTAGTAGAACCAAGAGGGCAGAGGGATGGAGGGAGAAGAGGGCAATGTCTTGAAGGATTTTGCCCTGATCCATAAATTCCAAACTAAGGACTGCTTTTCTTTCCTCAACTATTTAGGCCAACACACTTTCTTTGGGACGAGGTTTCTTTGACTCAGGCTTGCTTGTACGGTTGGCAGTCCTTCTGCTCCAGACTCCCATGCGCCTGCAATCACAGGCATGTAGACTTAAGGCACAGGCTGTGATCTCCACACATACAGATGGTCAGCTAATGCCGGAGACGAAGCATTCGCTCTTATTTATGCCACAGACCAAAGGCAGTTAAGTATGGCCCTTCCACAATGGTGCAGTATTGGGAACGCCAAGAACTCGGCATAGACCATGAGGGGAGCTGCACCCGCATTCTTTCTCAAAAACAGGGGAGACCGGGTGCAGGAGACCCAAGCCCGGCCGGGGCAGGGCGGGCACCTGCCGGGCTCGCCCCCGCACACCAAATGCACGGGACACTGGAGCTGCTTCCGATCCCATCGGTCGCGAGGCCCGTGGCGCATCCCTAAGCAGGCGTACTGACGGGGAGGCTCAGGACAACGGCGGGCCACGAGGGACGCGGAGGACAGGCTCTGCCCCGTCACTCCAACGCACAGAACACGCCAGCAGACGGCCGGAGGGCGGGGGCCCGACCCGCAACCCCAGCCCGGCGCGGTGGCGGCCCTTTCGTTTTCCCAGCCTGCTTGCCACCGCAGCTAGGCAGCCGGCGCGGAAACTTCCACCCGGCGCCCCGGCGCCTCTGCGCACGCGCAGCGCGGCCCACACGGCGGCCGCCCGCCCCCGCCCCCTCCGGCCCCGCCCTGTCTGTCTGGTCTGCCGGCATCCGCGCCGCCGTCTCCCCGCCGCCGCCTAGAGCGCGCGGTGCGCAGGCGCGGTAACCAAGGCGCCGCTGTCTAGTGAGGATTTGAAATCCCCGCGCGTGCGCACTGCGCCGCGGCCCGCGAGGGAGGCCGCGCCCCCGCCCCGCCGCCCCCGCGCCGCCTCTCCGCCCCTCATTGGAGCGGAGGCGGCGGCCCCCGTCCCTCCCCGCGCCCGGCCGCCGCCGAGGGCGTCTTTCCGCCGCCGCGCCGCAGGAGCGCCGTGACTGACGGGCGGCCCGGC